TGCAGTTTGCTGCCATGATGACACAACACTTAAATCCGTAAAACCCTAAAATGACTTGATTTAAACAGATTTGCAGCTCAACACAACTTTTAACAGAAGACAATTATGTATGTGCTTTTAAATCCTCTAAAAACTGGTCTGATTTACTTCCATTGTACGTACCTCACATAACCTTGATTTTTATTTCTTTTTTTTTTTTTTATAAAATGAGGGACGAGTTGAATTTATATTTTGAGGTAATCAACATTATGCGACAAATTGCACTTAACTTGAATCGAGCAATGCTTTATTGCATTATATTAAATCTTTACATGTGTAGAAATCTAATGCTGTAGAGGTATAAGTACTAATACATCAGTTTCACTTTGAGCAAAACATTTTCAAGTCAGGTATTGCATGCAAAACACTATCAGAGGAACTACACTTATGAGAAATTCACATGCACTGAAAGGACACCATGTCTTTTCTGCATAATGAACAGCCAGAATACGTCACAGCCATGGCCTTGGCAGTCTCCTCAAGCCATGTCACTTCCTCTTTCTAAACCGAAACTTGCAGGTTTGTGAAAATCTTTTTTTTTTTTGTTCCCTGATGGCCCCACACCCATTTCATCTTGCATGTATGCATACCACAGGTTCCTTTTCTCGTAACAAGTCAACTGCGGCCAAATAAAGTTATGAGAATGTTATAAATTATCCTCTGCAAGCATATTGTGCACCATTACAGTTAACAACTCATCAAATGCAAACCAAGCATCTCTCTGAATCTGTCCATCTGTGTTTATAAGGATGACTAATGAGCCCTTCCTTATCCAGCCACATGCTAGTTGGAATCTTTTCCTTACTTCTACCATCTCCAACTTTCCTGTGTGTCCTCCTTTTTTGCCTTGAGACTGTGCATAGCCATAAAACATCAGTCAAATATTATACTTGATGCTCTCCTAGGCCATGAACTAATCTTAACATGACTATAAACCCCAACAAGTGAAGTGAAGTGTGGCCAAGTATGGTGACCCATACTCTGAATTTGTGCTCTGCATTTAACCCATCCAAGTGCACAGACACAGTAGTGAACACACACCCAGAGCAGTGGGCAGCCATTTTGCTGCAGCTCCCGGGGAGCAGTGGGGGGTTCGGTGCCTTGCTCAAGGGTCTCACCTCAGTCGTGGTATTGAAGGTGGAGAGAGCACTGGTTATTCACTCTTCCCACCGACAATTCCTGCCGGACCTGAGACTCGAACCCGCGACCTTTGGGTTACGATTCTCCGACTCTCTATCCATTAGGCCACGACTGCCCCAAAGTGGAGATTAAAGTCCAGGATGCACCCAGAGAACAGAGGCAGTGGCAGTACAGTCAGGCTAAACTGAAAAGGTCCTCTCGAAAGGTCACAAGAAGGTTATTTTACCAGACTTAGCTCAGTGAGGGACACTCTGTAACCACAGGTTACCCCAGAATTGCTGTGTTACAATACATAGTCTTTCTTTAAAAAGAAAACAGAGCTACAAATAGACCCAGAACCTAAAATTGGTGGCTTGGCAAACGAATGTGGTATAAGACAGTTAGCGAGATGGAAAGGATAATTTCAGTCCACAAGCAAGTGCTTTACAAAGTTAAGTGAGCTAGTAACAAATTCTTGGGAAGGGAAATAACACTTAAAAGACTTTGCACTGCCACAGTTATCTATACTAATGCAATATTGTATAGTCTTCAAAAGTACAAAGTTTAAAGTTCCTTTCAGTGCCATTTAAACAACTGCATTTGCTGCAGTGCATTTCAAAGCGGAGCCCTGTGCAAAATTTCTGTGCCGTTTGATCATGACAGTACATCTGCTTCAGCTCTATCATAAAACACCTTCATCTTCCAGCAAGCTTGCACTTGTGATGGTTTGGGCCATCCCCCTTTCTCCTGGAACTACTCGCTCAACGGAATAGCACAAGAACACCGCAAAGGTCTAGCGAACAAATTAAATAAATAATTATTTACACTTTATCCCTAAGTTGCCAAGGCAGTAAAAATCAAAAAAGAAACATATCAAGACCTGTTGCATTTATCAGAAACTACTAATCGTTTTCACGAAAGCAGTTTGACTAGCGTGACTGCATCTTTGCGCATGAAGGAAAGCCCTAGATCCTAAGCTTTTATCCTACCGCTACAGTATATGACTCCATCGTCGACACTACGGTCTAAGTAGAAGGCTGAACGTAACTCTCTGTGCCCAATTCCTGCTGGATTAAGAAAAATTATCCAAAGCAGGGTGCAAACCAGAACCAGCAGGGAATTTAGGGCGTTTGCTATAGTCAAATGAGGTCCTCAGTACTTTTGGCTCCACAAGTTTGTTTTTATAACTCTGTGTTCCCCCTTCAGTTCAAAAGCAGTGCGTTGCTAGGAGAAAGATCCATCTTCTCTTTGCTCCATTGGTAGAGACTGATGGAAAATCTGCTGAGTGCTTAAGAAAGGTACCCAGAACTGAGCAGGTTGGCTGAGCCTGGGCTGCTGAACTCAAATGACCCACATTCTCTGATTACCAAAACAAATGAGATGGAACACTCATTGTTTAACCGAATCATGGTCTGATCGCAGACCGGTGACTACAGTGAAACCCAATCTAAAGTCTGCAATTTAGTGAACAGCCCAACTGAAAGACAGGAAGTGAGGGAGGTCTTAAATACACACCATAAACAAATTCACCACAAATGATGAATTGAGCTGTTTATCTGACTTACTTTGACATGTCAACACAAAACTAGACACATAATCAACACCATACACTGGACCGCAACTGAAGCTGGAGTTTTACAAAACAATATGCCTGAATGCAGGGTGGTATGTGGTGTGTTCTGACATAAACATGTCATTATATATACTGTAAAAGACCCAAACTATTATCAAACGAAGTAAAAAATTAAAAGGAACAGCAACCGTGTAGACGACACGCCCACCTTGAGTACATCAAAGCTTCAAATTTATATATTACATACAAGCCTCTTGTACCGAAAACCCAGTCAACCCATACTATATAGCCTATACAGTATGTATTATTTTAGATGTCAAGGTGAGGTTTTGGGGTAGTCCTGCCTCACCAGATATGCTATGCATGGTACATTTTGTATTATTCTGACTGTTTTTGTTTTTTCTAACTGATGAGATGTGCTATCTATGTTGTAATTTCAAAGATGACCGTTTAAACTGGTAGGTCATCACAAGCAAGTATAGATCAAATTTTCAGAACAGCATAACCACAAGGGATGAGTCAATATGGTTGATTAGTTGGGTTCTGGATTAGTGGGGACGACTAGTTTACTTAGATTTTTGTTACATATTGTTTTCATATATATAGTGGCAGTGTTTTAATTAGAATGCTAAGATATACATTTTGCACAATGGCTGAACCTTAACCAACCTAATTATACAATCTATCTTAATATCTATTAATGAATGTTCAAAACTAGGCTATAGACATGTATCCTTCCCTAATATTCAGATAACTGTGGTCAACCAACATGAGCAACAATTAGCCTACACATTCTTAAATGTCTATATTTCATAAAGCAGAGATGATGATAAATAACTGAGTGCATCAATCTAACCATCACACTTTGACACCAGAGGACTTACAGAAACTCTATCTGATCCATTTAGCCCAATAAAACACATCGCACTGTCTGAACATTCATCATTTTGAGTAACCAGTGGTGTGTTTCGGAAAACCCTGACACAATTTACACTTCTGCGGTTTATCTCTGATCTGAGGCTACAACGCCTTTAGGTGTCAAGAACGTTTCGATTTAGTGCAGGTTTCCTGTCAGGAGGACCATCTATTGTCTGAAGTGACAACAACGGCATTAATAAAATGATAGCGGCGGCAATACACGTCACAACGCGTGAAAATGCGGTGCAGACACGTGTAATTACTTTTCTAAATGTATTTTCCATCCTAACCGTCAATTATAAAGGCTCGAGGTCTGCGCTGAGGGCGGGTACGCTGCGCGGTTCAGCGCTCGGCTGGTCGAGTCTGTTGCTGGCCAGATCAGCTGGCAGTGTGTCCGACGGGGGTGTGGCACATCACAACAAAGAGCTTAACAGCCAAACAAGCAACCGCAGAAGTCTCACCAACCCCCATCTTTTAATCATTTTTTTATTCTTTTTTTTTGAACCCCCTTGCATGTATCTAAAGGACTAACGCAAAGAAAACCAAATTGTACGCGAACCCGCTGTTTCTGGACTTTAAAAGCCGTTCGCTGTCTGCGCCGCGCGCTATTGCCAGTGACTTTTCGCAAACTGCCAACATCGCCTCCTGAAACTATAGCCTACAAGACTTTATGAGCGATTACATCATGGGGTGCCTGGCTCTTTTTGCGCCAGCTGTGTGTTAAATTTAATTGCGAGCAGATTTTTGTGAGAAGGTATTGAATGTAGTACAAATATGTGTGTATGCATGAGCACGCGCACACATCTGTTGTAAATAGTTTTTTGTTGGTATTGTTGAATGTTTATTTTATGGTACATTGTTGTCACTATTATTACTTTTATTAACATTCCTGCCAGTTTGTTTTATTATTATTATCATTTCTGACCGTTTTATTGTGTGGATTAATGCCCTGGCATCATTGTACGCAGAATAATCGTGCCAATAAAGTGCTTTGAACTTGAAACTGAAAACTGGTTTATTGGACATATGTGTGTTGAGTTGGCTCGTATAGGCGAGGCACTGTGGGGTGAAGAACTGTTGCTGTTTACCATAATATTGCTTCCTCATAGTGGGCGTGCCAATATTTACGATGCTACTTACCTCGAATAACAATTTATTTCCTTTAAAACGACTAGTTAGAGTAAATGCATGTTTAATAGAGAATATCACTGCAACACAACAGTTGTCCCTTCACGTAAAACCTGACCTTGTGCCAAACACAATGTGCCCAAAGTGTGCGAACGCGTAAATGTCGCGATGTTTACATTGGATCTGCGAAACGGCAATACACTTGGCAGGAATGGAAACTGACCTGTGTGTGTCCTTAGGTGGGCTTTGAGATGGGACGATTTGCCATAAACTTTTTCACAACCTGAATAGTGGCATTTGTGCTTTTTCTGTGGGGGTTCTTGTTCAATTCGACCCCTAGATCGTTTGCTTCTTTGTTTAAGAGCAGAGTCGCCGGTGATGGTGGTGGTAGGTGTGGCAGAGTTCCCATCATCTCTGGTCAGGGTTGCTGTTGGTGGCGTGCTCTCCTCCTTTATTTTTGCCTGCTCGGCAAAATTGGTGGGGGTCTGTTGATTAAAATCCGCCAAAATTCTCGCCACCACAAAAAGAGATGAGTTGTCTTTCAAAGGCTCCTTGGTTTCTTCTCCATTCCTCTGTGCAGCCGCAGTTTCGGGCTTGATCTCTCTATTCCCTTTTGGACCGTGGACAATTGCTTGGCTGGACATTGACACAAGGCACTCTGCTGCGAAGTGATCCATTTCGTTGAAGAGTAGAAGTTGTTTCTTTATGACATTCAAACCCAATGACAGTAGACCATTGAACTCGGTAGATCCCTTTGTGTGATGCTGAATAGGCAGCTCTCGTAAGCAAACTCACTTTGCACTATCTTACCGGCTTTTCAGCAACACTGACATCCTGCATGTAAATCATGCGAGATCGAGCCGTGAGCGCGCCACACTGACTGCTTTCGTCCTTTAAAGATAAGTTTCCGGTGATGAGAGCTCTGAAAACTTGTCTGGATTGAGTATCAAAACTGCCATCGTGGCTGTAGCCTTCACAGCGTTAACGTGACAGTATGCTGTGCGCCGATTAGAGCTGATTGTATCCATGCTGGGGGCGTGTTGGCCGGTAGCGTTTGGCAACGTCACCGAGCCGGCGCGCACTCATTGGATGGCGACGCGTCCCGGAGTGCACTACCTTACTTGCCCCCCACCAAACTTTTTAGAAAGTATAAAAGAAACTTCACTTAGAACCTAAATGCATATATAAGACACGCATTGGTAGGTGTGAGAATTGAGTTAATTTTTCAAGTAATATTAATTTACACGGTAAAGTAATGGTAAAATTGCTAAAGATTTCACCCCTCACCCACTCACTCGAAGCATTTTTGTAATGACTCCAATCCTATATTTTTTATTATTGTAATTTAACAGGATTTGTAATGTAGGCTACAGTCAGAGACTCAGTGATAATGCTTCTATTCAGAATGTTTTATTATTAATTGCAAATATATATTATCAGCATAATATTTGCATATAAAGTTGACCTGAAAATGTTTATTTATTTATTGATTTCATTTCATTCCTTATCTTTGTATACTGGATTATATAACTTTTTTTTAAATAACTTTTTTTGGCCACAGAGTTCACTATAACTTCAATATAATTTCCCTTTATAAGTGGCACTCATTTAGGTTGGAAAAATCAACATTATTTCATATAATTTACTGTATGACAAAGCAGTGGTCGCTATAATAGCTCTCACTTAATGTGTGTTGCCGCAATAGCCCCCATTGAATGGAAATAATATAGAATGGAAACAATACTGTAAAATATGTATACAGTTGGCTTCATTCAGTCAAAGACTCCAAGGGCCTGGAAGTGACAAAACATTTCAAAATAAATAACGCACAGGCACAGAATCCCAGACTGGAAAATATATTCATATTACTGCATTTCACAAGCAGACTGTGGGGGTGAAAATCGAGATCAGTGTTTCAAAAGTTACTTAATCTTTTTCATGTGAAAGCAGCAGAGGAGGAAAGAAAGGGCTGAAGCCCACCACTTCAGCTCTAACGATGCACTATTCTCCTGTGGGAAAGCATGTACTCTCTTTCAGTCCTATTCACAATAGACTTCTCTGGAAAGTTCCAAGTGTTCATTGAGAGCAAGGCTACATGGCATTCAGAGAGCCATCTGGTTGTATTACTTTACATATTCTTTCACCACCACGATAACTGGGTGTTCTTGCATTTCATGCAGTGTTTCTGAGGCAAATCCTACCACAGCATAATTTCACAAGATGGCTGCCTCAAAACTCAAATGGAAGAAAATGCAACCTAAACAGATAAGTTATATAAAAATAATGTATTTATAACACAATTATTGTGTTTTGTATTATTATATTTTAATTTAATATTTATTAATTTGACATTTATATGAACATATACATTTATAATATTTAATATTAATAATATTTAATATATATACAATTAGCCTAGCTCTTTATATGTGATTCTGTAAATGTATAGACACACTGTATAAGATACACCTTACATTTTTTGAGCATAATTATTCCATAATACATCACAAGATGCACTGATTTGCCTGATCATACAATACGAATTTTACCAAGTGCTTCTGCAAAAGGCCTTTTTGCAACCAGTGAGAAAATTTAAATGAAACTCAGTGTCCCACACATTGAACCCACGCTATCATTCTCCTATTATAATTTGTGTTCTCAACAATCACCAAAATGTTTCAGAAGTAGGCTGAATCATGTTCTCAATTTCACCACGCGAGTGAGATGACTCAGCCATTCTTCTATACTATCAAGAAAAATCACAGTCTCCTGGGGCTCTGCATCATTACTGATGATTGTTGCACATGCCCTCTCGAGTTTTGAGATGTAATCCCATTGGATACGAACAGTTTGTGAGGACAGCCTGACCGCACCACCAGGTGATACAGACCAATCAAGGCCATGCTGTCCTAGAACACAAGGCCCATATACTGTAGCGCTGTGGACTGATTAGACTGTTTCCTTGTATGGCACATGCCATACATAGTGTGTACACTCTATTTTTCTGTTTTATATAAACCTGACTTTATGAGATCTGAGTCTGACATAGTGAATGTGTTAGCTTTAAAAGTATATTTACTTTTCTTCTGAGAGAATCAAGGCTGCTGTTTTCCATCCAAAGAAAAAGAGAGAGACAGACAGGTGAGGGATAGATAGACTGATGGATGGACTGACAGACGGACAGACGGATAGATAGATAGATAGATAGATAGATAGATAGATAGATAGATAGATAGACAGACAGTCAGACAGAGAGAAATACAGACAGAGATAGATAGATAGATAGATAGATAGATAGATGCTAGGTAGACAGACAGACATATAGATAGATAGATAGATAGATAGATGTTAGGTAGACAGACAGACAGACAGACAGACAGAGATAGATAGATAGACAGACAGACAGACAGACAGATAGATAGATAGATAGATAGATAGATAGATGTAAAGTCCCCTCAAAGCTGTCAACTTTTTACCTAGGCAAGCTGATACCATTTAAGCAAAGTCATCATGGGTGAAAACTGATACTTTTCCAGTCATGATTCATGTGGGTTGTGCATGTGATTCCTTTCCCTCACTAGACAAGCAAAGAAGGACAATAATGTGGCACCTCTTACTGTCTCTCATAATCACTGCACGCTTCCCAACAATGTGTCATCATGACCTGAAAGTCTGACAAGCAAACACACCTCAAAAGACTGAAGGTCACATAATACAGTTCAGTTTGTCTTCTTTCCATGGAAGCTATAAATTAGAAATGACCTGCACTCTCATCATGGCCTGATAACTAGGGCTTGACTGCTGTAAAAAGATTTTGTGTTTGCCATTTCTTTTCTCTCTCTCTCTTTCGTTTATGAGTTGTTGTTGTTGTTTTTTTTGTATTTTATATTGAAGTTACTGTAGCCTTTAAATGTCAGTTCAGCAGCTCTGGCACATGTGAAACTCAGAGGCTGTTTGTGGTTTAGCTTTGTTCTTTTGATCTACAGTTGGGAAACATATCATTTCCCATCATGCATGTAACAACTCTCTTCCTGTTCATCTTCAGACAGTGCCCTCTCATGTTGATCTAGGACCAGCTTTGTCCCAGCCCAATTCTGATCTTAACCATCAAAAGAGAAACTACAGAACTGGTCTCAGATCAGCACCCAAAGACAACTTAAACAAAACCCTCTGCGAACTTGAGCAGCACACAACATATAGCAAAACATTAAACCTAAAAAAAAAAAACCTGATCATGAGAATAAAAACCTGCAAGAACTTCCCGAATAACATCAACAGTGCTCTTGCATAACATAGTTGACTGGTCAATCATTTCACATGTTGAAATTTCCGCCCATGTCCTTGGCAAGATTCCTGACCTCAATGACTACCGTGGATCACGCTGTTCTGCTCTGTTGTATCCCAACCACCCCAGAACAAACATCTCACTTAAAGGTACATGAACTGAGCTTCAACCAGATGCTGGGCTTTTGTTTTGTCTGTTGAAGGAGACTAGAGCACAATGAGAAACATTAAGCTATAAACCAACAGCGAGAATAAACTAATGACGATGAGGTAAATGTAGCATAAATGTCAGAGAAAAAGCCATAATTTATGATTTATGCAAAGACAAATTAAAGATTTCATGCTTCTGAGAGACAAAAATAAAGTCCAAAGTTTATTTAATCAATGTCCAGAGCTGGATATTTAGGTTACACGTGCCACAAGTAATTCATTCATTTATTTCAATAAAGCAGTGAATTTTCATTTACAGTTTGAACTATAACAGTTAAATATAGAAATATAATAAAGCCACTTTAATGACCCTATGAAATGAAAATAGTAGGTTTTAGTTTTATGCCTTAGTCCATGTGCCAGTGTAGTCCTACATGTTGCATAAATGGGTATTTAAATGTATAGTCACTGTTTTATAGGGAAACAGACCAAAACACTGATGACTCATCCTGCACCACAGATTTTTGTCCAATCAAATGCTCTTCAGAATGATAAAGTCCCACCCACAAATACAATCTGCCATAGATAGATAGATAGATAGATAGATAGATAGATTTTGCCAAAGCATCATGTTTGAACAGAAAATACATTGGCACAGGAATCAAACCTGCAGCTCTCAAGTGATTTAAATGCAAATATTGTAATCGTTCAATAACCCGAATGTACTGTATCTACCAATTCATTAAAACAGACCACAAGAAGGTCATATTAGTTATGCTAATTAGTACAAATCAGTGACATGCTAAGCGTAAATTGATTTTATGAGGCTGATGCTTGCTGAGGCTAGCAGTAATCCACTCTGAAACAATGCTGCAGGGAACGGCTTTGTCTGCTTCACACAATACAGCTTAAAAAGAACAAATTGGAACAAACACACTTCAACTAGCTGGCTGTGAGGAGCAGCTCTATTCATGAGGCATCAATCAGTGGGCAGGTAAGACATGTCTGATGGAGGAAGAGGAGGAAACCTTCATCTATCTATATCTCTCCCTTCAACCACACAGTTTGACCCTCAGGCTCTGCATTAGCACGCCTTGATGACGACATGTATAGAGAGCCTCTAGCTGACCCCTATTCAAACTCAACAGTGATATGTACATGCACACTATGTACACTATGCTCATGTAGCCTATATCACACAATGGGTTGGCCTTAGGGTACACGTACAGTATGTAATGTACTCAAGGTAGGACTTTGAACATTGCTTTTCCTGTTCTTTATCAAAAGACGTAACCATTACTAATGGAGTGACCGCCCAGTTTTACAGTAGCCTTTGTTACAGGATTTTCCCTATGCATTTTCTTCATAGTGATTTCAAGTCAATATATATAAATAATTTGGTGTAATAATATATTGAAATAATAAGTTTACTGTATTTTTAATCAAATGCTTGCAGCCTTGGTGAGCATAAGAGTATTCAGTACCTTTACAATAAGGTTCCATTTGTTAACATTAGTTCAGTCATGACTACTCTCAGGATAGATTGTAAAATCTTTATTAAAGGCA